AGAGTATATTAGAAGGAAAAAGAAAGCTGTTGAAAGATAACACCGGCAAGTAAAAGTACACAAATATTCTAGAACATAGAAGCAACTTATACTTTTAAAGAATTACGCAGCAGCAAATAATCAGAAAAACAATGTGATTTTAAAGCTTCAATATTCTGTGAAAAGTACAGTTGATACATTAACTCTCATGTGCCCGTACAAAGCACAGTAATTAAAGACGATATTAAATAAGCATTCAAAAAGTAAGAAAATACTAAAAATGTTATCATTTGAAAATATTTGAAAACCACAGAAAAACCTAAATTCTTTTTGCAAAAATCAATTCATATCGACAGACAAACAAAATTTTCTAACAGCCATTTTCTGCTTATCAGTTTTTCGTCGACAATTCAAGATGCAAGTTTACAATGTTGACGTAATCAAATAACCGTTAAAACATATCTCGAAATCTTGTACCAAGTAGCACCAATTTTACTTTGTTGACCCCAAACAGTCATTATACTGCTTAATTATGTTGAAAACTTTTTTTTTGAACGTTTACCAGTATTCCTTTTATTTTTTGCAGACGACGCTGTTATCATCTTATCACTTTTAAAAAACTTCATATTTGGCTGCAACAAAAAATTGCTGAAAAAGGTGTTCTGCCTTGTCAGACCACACCGTAACAGCTATAGAACAGTGAGCTACGTGAATATGACAGGTAAATATCTGATAAATAAGTTAATAAAAGTTAGTTAAAGTATGACGAAAGAATGTAAAAATGATATTGATAACGAGCAGTGAACATTTGAATGTCTAAACCAAAAAATCACTGACAATGACCGTCCAGCTTCCTATCGACTTCTTAAACTGAAAAAGCATTAAACATGGTTTAAATGCCAGCCAAAAAAAAAAACGCTGAAGCAGATCAACGTAGAAAGACACGTTTATCTATACATCATTCTGCGAAACATTTGGAAAATAGTAAATTTTGAGTTATTGAGTAAAGGCAAAATACCAATAACTGAAAGATATGCAAGTCAGATGAGAAGCGTAGACAGCAAACCCAGTACGTTTTGTTTTCTCAGGCATCATTATGCCTTCCAGCTCTATGTCGCCGGACCTTGAGTGAGCGTTGCAAGACAAGCGTCTACAGAGCAATGCAAACTACAAGTTCTCTGCCACCTTCCGTTTCCCTACGTCTCGGCCTGTCTAGCTCAATGATTCTTATCCGAGATGAAGAATTCCAGAAAAGTAGTTCAAATTTAGAAATAGTGAATGAACCTTCTTAGATTTGATAAACCACTGTCAAATTGACTGCAGCAGATATAGACAATGCTGGCGAAAAAAACAGTTTTGAACCCATAAACTTGAGCTTCACAACGCTGTAAAATTTTTTTGTAAATTTTAAAACCTTAAACACCAGTTCTAGCAAATTTAAACACAGGTAACACTACACATTTTCCTGATATATTGAAATGCTCAAATAAAGTTTTTGAAAATTTTTATTTGTTTTTTTAGCATGACATACAGCAAATACCATTAAGGAAGGTTACGGCATGTGCACTATTACATTGAAAATTATTCAACGTTCACAATGATAATTTACAAGATAAAAATAAAAAACAAATTTTAATCAATATGATCATCACAAAGAAAAGGCACTACAACACTTACAGCAGAGGCTTACTGTAGTGGTTTCTTAGCGTAAAAATAAAGAGATCTTGGTTATGTAAAAAATTCTTTTGAAAACAACAGTCAGTAAAAATTCTGTTTTAATTTTTTATGTACATGTCAAAAATTAAGTAAAAAAATTATACTTAATTAAAACTATTTAATTTTTATCACAATGTGGTCTCAGATTACAAACCTTACTGTTATGTATATGGCAATTAGGCCGCCTAAATTACTTTTCAAATACCGCCGTAAAAAATTTTTAGCAGGCAGTTTAAAGGTTCTCGGTAAGCCAAGCTAAAGTACCCGTTAAAAGCATGATAATCTTCCAGATGTTCCAGAACACCAGATAGTTCTTTTTTAAGCATATTTCCCCGTACCAACCTTCGGTCTTCCACTCGCATTTCTAGACATCCACTTCTTCTAAAGATGAAAAATTATTTTTAATAATTAAGCTAGGCAACAAAAGTCACTTCGCCTACTAAGGGAATCTGACTGACCAGCTAAGAAGACAATACCTTTCCAAATCGAAAATGTTAGCGGTGTTATTTTGAGTTAGAAACTTACTAAAATTTGGTAAAGGAGGTCTGTCAGTAACTCCATCCTGTCCTATAGGTCCTACAGTCTCAGAATTTTTCGCCAGATCACTAACAATGCTGATTTTGTCCTCCTCCTTCAAACGACGATGTTTCACAAGCGAACGTGTACTCCGTACTGACGACATCCTCCGTACCACATTCGCTGCAAAGATTTATAGTTTGTAAAGTGGCATTGAGTTGTCTACAAAAAGTGAAAGCAAATTTCCTAAGCAGCAACGCTTACAGAGCGAGCGAACAATTTCTTCCATGCTTTGCTGAGGTTCCTCCTCTTTAGCCCATTCTTGGATCTCACCAGCACCAAATATCAAAAAGGTTAGAAGTCCAAGTACGTCGACACATACGGCTAAAAGAAATGAGAATCTCCAGCCCAACTGTACTCCCTGAAAACGAAGGAAATTGAGCAAATTAGCCAACAACTAAGT